GAAATAGGAGCACTATTTATCAATCTGTAATAAAAGACGTGAGGAAATTCTGTCTTTTTTAAAGACAAAAATTTTTGAGGTGAAATACCCAAAAAAAGTTTGTAAAAAAATGAATCCCAAAAAAATGGATAGTTATGGATGAACGATTTAGACTTTATTTTGTTACCTTAAAATTATCCTGATGTTAAATGTTTCAGCGTGGACATCAGTCGGGACACAACCTTGTTTAGTCTTCCTTAGCTTCAAGTATAAAAATACCAAAAATTAATTTGCTTAGATCCTAAACAAGAAACTTTATTCGCTTCATTTCGTGATACTGGATTTTTTTTTTGGTTGAGTATTTCCAAAAATCATCAGAAATCTGGCGTGGAAGATTAAGTCGGTTTGCGAAATTATACTTCAATTTCCTAAAGCTTGAATTGTCTCAAATTTTTTGTCGTTTGACTATTTAGATTCACCATTTCTTCAGTTTTTAACCATTCTTGCTACTTTTAAATTTTTTCGGTCGACCCAAACTGGCCTTGCTATCGACGTAAACTCTCTACTGATTTTCAGAGTCGTCACTCCTCTATCAGCTCAAATGCTGATTCTACTGGGCGTTTTCCTAATAATGGTCGCATATCACGCCCGGCTGGTTGAAGTGACGTCCCGCTTGGACTTTTTGTGGAAGCAGCAGGCTGAGAGGGAATTAGCCGATATGGAGGAGACCAAGCAGAATAACATGCAGCTGCTAACTAATATTTTGCCCGATCACGTTGCTCAGCACTATTTGTCTAATGATCGAAACAGCGATGTAAACGCGAGAGTATTTCGGAATTCATTTAGAGAATTAATGGGAATTTTTCCAGGAATTGTTCTCCCAGTATCGGGAGAAGGTTGGAGTGCTTTTCGCCTCTATACCGAATTTCACTGATTTCTATTCGGAAAAAATCAACAAGGGAGTGGAGTGCATAAGACTGTTGAATGAAATCATCGGTAAGGGCGTGTTGGAAATTATGGAGTTTTATATAGAAACTGGCAATTTCTCCAGTGCCTCTACGCGTAAATGAGCAGATAATGTTAAAGTTTCATTCGCTTCCGCTGCAAATATGAAGGACACCAAACCTGTACAAGGAGCTTCAAATTCTGCTATTTTAAAATATTCGTTGTCTTCCCTCTACATCTTCATTAATAGAGTCCTGGTTTTCAGCTGACTTTGATGAGCTTCTAGACGAAGATAGATTTAGTTCCATTGAGAAAATAAAGACTGTTAGCGCTACCGCCACTTACATGGCTACTTCTGGACTAAATCCCACCCACAAGGTAAAACAGGCAATTAAAATCCCCAATTGCATTTTCTTCTTGCACAATAATTTTATTGTTAAACCAAAGTCATCGTGTAAGTGTGCAATATTTTGATTTTTCTAGGACTCGGATAAAAGCATAGACAACACTGAACATCTGTGCGCTTTAGTGGACTATGCCATGGCCATGAAGGACAAACTAGAAGACATCAACAAGGACTCTTTCAACACCTTTGGACTCCGGATAGGGGTGTCTTGTGGCCCTTTGGTATGCGGAGTAATCGGAGCTAGAAAGCCGGTGTTCGATATATGGGGCGACACAGTCAATTTGGCGTCCCGAATGGACAGTACCGGTGTTATTGGACACATTCAAGTACCCAAAGACACTGCCCAGGTATGCAAGCCGATGTACTTCTGAACTGGTATGTGATAAACATTGGGGCTTTCAGATGCTGGAGGCCAAAGGATATCGATTGCACAACCGGGGTATCATCAATGTTAAGGGAAAAGGGCTGATGGAGACCTACTTTGTGTTGGGAAGGCAAGTGTCCCGACCGGCCAGTTTCCAAAGACAAGCGAGTAATTACAGTACATTGGCGGCGGTCGTTTATGCCTTGGCCCAAACTAGGAAAAAGCACACAGGAAACACGCGTAAGTTTGCAAAAGAATACTGACGACATGTGAAGAAGAAGCCATTTGCGAGCTGAACATCTTCATTGATGGGTTTGGGTTTATGGGTTTAAAGCTGGGAAGTTTTTCCGGTCAATTCGCCTCTAGCTCCTTTATCATCAGGAATTGGGGCATTAAAACAATGCTCCGAAAACTTATATTTTTAGAAAGATCTAAATTGCACTGTTGAAGCCGCAGCGTTTTTCGCGCTTCAAATTTTGGCGTCTCCTCTACAAATCCGCCCTTTAACTTCAGTTAAAAGTTCAAAAGCTGAATACCTTTACTTCCTCGCAATTTCTTAGTTATTGCAATCTTTTTGAGCTAAAGAGTAAAGAATGGTTTTAAGTTGAAAATTCCCGCATTCAATAATTCGTAGCTTCGTTCTGCCCTAATAACTTGTCGCATCTGTAGGTAAAGTGCATTTGAAAGCCAAATAACTTCATTTCTTTTAAGTAATTTGACAAACTAATCACTGTTATTAATTATGGCTCTTTTCACTCTCAAAATGTTTTATGTTCAACATTTCGGCTCCTTTTAGATAAACCGGTCTGTAGCGCAGTTAATTGAATAATTTGCACCAACTGAAGAACGATAAATTTAAAAGCTGAATATCTTCTTTCCTTAGCATTTTTTTCTAAATTAAAATTTGCCATTGATTGCAATTAAATTTGATAAGCTAAAGGGTGGTTTACGTTCAACAGTGCGAAGTTTTCCGTATAAAACTATCGGTGACTCCGTTGTCTTTGAAAATTTTCCGCGTCTAAAATGTCCATTTGAAAGCCCAATATCTTCATTTTAGGTATTCAGTTGCATTAAAAATTAAACGGTACAATAAATTGCGCTCTTTCCAAGCTAAAGCGAGTTTCTGATTTCGAATATCGATGTCTCCTACAAAAATTCGTCCGTAGCTTCGTTATCTTTAAGAATTTGCGGAATGTAAAAAGGAGAAAAGCGCCAATAAGCCAAATATTTTCATTTTAGACTATTACAAAAGCAGCGTAATTAGTTGCGCTTTTTTTCGGCTATTTTGGGTTTTAAATGTCGCGGTCTGCCATATAAACTCGTCTGCTGCGCCATCATTTTCAAGAATTTACCGCAACTGAAAAGTGCATTTGAAAGCCAACTCTCTTGGTTTCTCTATGCTAAAAACTTTTTCAGGTTCTTAGTTGCAGCAAAACTAGTCCCATCTAAAAAATAAATTTCAACCCTCAATATCTGCACTTTCTTCCATTTGTTTAAGCTAAAAGCTCAGCGCTTTATCCTGAAAATTGATGTTTCYAAGCTAAATCGAGTTTCTGATTTCAAACATCGATGTCTCCTACAAAAATTCGTCCGTAGCTTCGTTATCTTTAAGAATTTGCCGAATGTAAAAAGGAGAAAAGCGCCAATAAGCCAAATATTTTCGTTTTAGACTATTACAAAAGCAGCGTAATTAGTTGCGCTTTTTTTCGGCTATTTTGGGTTTTAAATGTCGCGGTCTGCCATATAAACTCGTCTGCTGCGCCATCATTTTCAAGAATTTACCGCAACTGAAAAGTGCATTTGAAAGCCAACTCTCTTGGTTTCTCTATGCTAAAAACTTTTTCAGGTTCTTAGTTGCAGCAAAACTAGTCCCATCTAAAAAATAAATTTCAACTCTCAATATCTGCACTTTCTTCCATTTGTTTAAGCTAAAAGCTCAGCGCTTTATCCTGAAAATTGATGCAAATATTGTATTGTTTCAGCTGGAAGTGCCGTACTGGGCAGGGCAAGAACCCAAGGAAAAAGCGACATCACCCGAAAAATCATCAACTACAGTTCGATGAGGATCACGAATAAATCCTCCGGAGGTCCAGTTCGACGCAACACCACCAGAGGAAACCACAAGCAAATGCACGCTCGGTAAGAGGCTCTTTCTTGCGCTTGCAAGAAAACTCGCAATGCAAATTTCCCGCAGATCCCAGCCGAATATGCGGCAACTCGGGTCGCAAACTCTGGACAATATGAAATCGATTAAGTCCATTGATCGGGACATTACCACTAATGCGATCAGCCGCATGACTGTGTCCCAGTCGGCTCCCCACACCCCAGTTTCCTCCTCAAACCACTCGGACTGTTTGCCATTCAAGTCGGTGCCAAGATTGCTATCGGAGCCCATAGTGAATAGGTGGGGAACATTTCCGAACCCTGCAGCTTCATCTGATGGATTCTTGTAGGTCGAGAAGTTCGCCCAACTCCTCCAGCCAGAAGCGCTCTCTAAAGGAAACGAACAAAGCGATGGTGGTGGAGGGCGCCGCCCTGGAAGCGTCCGACTTCAAGACGAAGCGATCTGAAGCAATCGCGCCGGTTCATTCGCCCAAACATGCCCTCAGAAGGGACACCAAGTTCTCCCTGAGGAGCCCGTTAGGGAAACGGGACGCCCGAGTCAAGCTGGAAGGGAACAAGCTGAACAAGGTTCATTCCTTGGATGGCACCCACGTTTAAATGTCTAAGTGTACGGAATATGTGGCAATTTATTGTTTCCAGTTAGGAATTTAGTGTATGTCTGGTGATAATAGATCGAGAGAATTTCTTATCAGAATTAGCTCTTTCAAGGTGCGGAAGTGTTTTTTTTTTATTAAAAGCTACGATTTTGGTTTTGCAGTTCTACAATGGAACAGTCCATGCACTGATCATTTCGTAGAATCAGAGCAAATGATCTTCAAGGTTAAAGGTAAGGCATTGAAGGGCTCATCCTTTCTTTGCAAGGTAAGTACAGGCTGTCCCATTTTGGTTCATGATGAAATACAAATTTGAAAAATTTTGTTCCCTTAATTGATACCGAAAAATCAAGAAAGTTCCAATTTCGAATTTCCCTTAGTTCAAAGAGACGCCAGGAGCGCATCCAGCTTTAAAGTC